ATGGCAATGGGTCGGGTTGGGTCGGGTTTTGCCAAATCCAAACCCTAATCCATGGGTTTATTCGTGAAAAAAACCCGGGGTAAAACCCACTGGGTTTGAAAAACTCAAACCCAACCCAACCCGCTGGGTATCCGCAGGTTCATGGGTACCCACGGGTTTTTGTCATAAAAATTCACAATAACAAATTCCTATCAAAATTAAAGTCAAATATCAATCTCCCAATACAAATTATCCATATATAAAACACCATTCTAGAAAATTCAAGCAAATCACAAATTAACTATACAAATTGTTCAACACCAATCTAGAAAACTCAAGAAAATTGAAGCAAATCACAAATTATCCATAAATAACATGATTAATAGAAATCTTCTTCCTTTCAATTAAGTTTTTCACTCTCCACTCGATAACATCAACTTCATACTACATAACTAGAAAGAAAAAATTAGGCATGTCTCCACAAACATAAATAAGGTTAATTGTTTAGAATATTAAATATGCCGAGAAAATTAATTATTTGGGTGTGGGCGGGTACCCATGGGCCAGGTTTACCTAAACCCAAACCCAACCCAACCCGGTGAATAGTGAACGGGTTTAAACCCAAACCCGGCCCATAACCCGTCAACACGGATTTTACCCGCGTTGACCGGGTTGGGTCGGGTGGGTACCCGTGGGTTCGGGTTTTGTTGCCATCCCTACCCCCAACTACCATGACCCCACCAAAAGCTATGAAGCAATAAATCAAATAATGGCGAGCAAACATAATAACAAGTACAATGAAAATATAATTTTCTTACAATATGAATGAAGAATATTTATACGAGCAAATAGAGCAAATAACCAAACGACGTAGTTTTAAACTACGACACTTAAACAAAATCTAAACTCTTCTTCTTGGCGCCATCTTCCTTTCGAGCAGGGTTCGAACTTGCCTTCCAACATCAAGTTGCACTGATTTCACACGTAGATTGATGGAAGGTTGAGAACAATCTATCTCCATGCATGCAAGACACGTCGAAGGTTCGAAGACCAGTAACCAATAACAGAAACATATTTAATTAGTAGCTAATACTATATACATACACAACCAAAAGTTGAGATAGCAACCAATTTTTACAGTCGCAAAAGGACGCCTCTCGATTCATTCTTATAAAACATGGACTCGATCGGGAAGCAACAGCTCCTCATTGCTCAGCGCGTCGCAACCTGTAAACGCCATCGTTTCCAAATGACTCAGCTCCCTAAAGCTCCGTGGGATCTTCACGAGCTTCTTGCACTCGTCGAATTTCAACACGGTCAGGCGCTTCAACGACAAGACGGACGAAGGAAGCTCCTTGATCCCGGTGCCAGACAGACAAAGCCTCTCCAAGTTCGCAAGATTCCGGATCGTGTTGGGAATCCTCGACACCTTCGAACAGTAGCTCAGATCGAGCACGAGCAGTTTTTCCATGGTGGTCGCGATCTCGGGGAACGAACCGAGATTCTCGCACCCATAGAAGTCGAGCGTCTGGAGAGAATTCAACATGTGGATCTTCAACGGGAAGTCGACGAGGAGCTTGTTGTTTCGAAATATCAAATGTTCGATCGACATGCTACTACTGCTGACGAGAGCGTCGATGGATGGGAATTTCGACAAGTTTGGGCAGCTCGAGCAGTCGATTTTGGTGAGGTTTGGTGCTCGTAGGAGCAATCGAGGGACTTTTTCGATTGGCGTGGCGTCCAAGTTTACTTGCTCCAAACGTGGGAAAGCTACGGTTCCTTGTGTGTCTTCCTCGTCCAATTTACTGAGGTCTAGAGCTTTGCACGAATCTAGAATTAGGGTTTTGAGGCTTGGGAGGTAGATGACTGATGTATGAAGCTCGATTAGTGTCTCGCAGCAGGTCAGATCGATGAGCTCGAGTTTTTTGGCAGTTGAGAGATCCGGTAGCTTGGTTAGGTATTTGGATGCTGTGAGATTGAGCTCTCTCAGATTTCCAAGATCCTGCACGTACACATGATTAACTCCGAGGCAAATAGTTGTATGTATGTGTATGTCACAATTAGGAAATTTTATGTATCGTGAGATCACATGAGGTACGAAATACTTACGGTCTTAGCTCCGTCGTCCCACAGCTGACGGATGGTGTTGTGTTTCAGCCTTAGCACTCGAAGCTTATCGGGGCAGAATTTGGAGGGCAAAGATGTGGCAGCAAACAAGTCCCAACGAAGATATGTTAGCTTGCGCGGGAGAGTATTGATGAGACCTTCGCCATTAGGGAAAACTACTTTGCTTTCTGGTGCTAATTCAATGGAAAGCACTCTCAGATTCCACATCTTTGCAAAAGTATCAGAACATTCTGTTTCTATCTTCTCCTCGTTTTCATCCAAATTCAACCAGATTCCTTCTGTTGCTTCCGTTCCCTGAATGAACAAAATCGAGCGAACAAACATGTAATTTATAGTTTATGTAATATTGTATGTCAGTACAAATAATTCGAGTTACTGAATGAGATATAAATAAATTCTATATTTACCTTGTTTTTTGCTAGCAAATCTAAGGTATCTTTGACTTCCCACCACCTAGTTCGTTTTTGAGGATCCGTTTCCGCCTCAACGATATCCTGCCCTAAATCTTCAAGCAAAACATGCATTTCTATCTTACCTTTGGAATAGTCAATCCCGACAAGAGACTTGTCGGCCAAGTTGGTGACCAGATCTTCATCCAACACTCTCGTCACGAAATCATAACTCTCGTGGTTGAAGAAGCAAGCAATGTCGAGGAATGCACTCTGCTCATCTCGACTCAACTCGTTGTAGCTAATCATCAACAAATCCTGAATGTCCTTCTTGTGAAGTGTCCTCAACTTTTCCAATGTCAAATCCCAAAGGTCTAGTTTCTTCTTGTAGAACGCCACGCCCAAAACTCTCAAGGCCAGTGGGTTTCCACCACAATAAGCTACCACTTTTTCACACCTCTCCTTGTACTCATCTGGAGGTTGGTCCTTCTTGAAGGCGTAAAAGCTGAAAAGCTGAAGGGATTTCTCCTCGTCGAGGCCCGGGACTTGGTGCACTTCTTGACAAGCATTGATGAGCACCTGTTGATTCGTGCTCGTCAGGATCATTCTACTTCCCGGTCCAAACAGATTGCAGAACTTCCAATCGAGCAGCTCTTCTAGGGCTTGCATGCTTGCACTCGTCACATCATCGATGACGACGAACGCCCTCAGACGACGGAGGCGACTGAGCTTGTGACCAAATGCAATGTCTTGAGGATTATCGTCCCGCAGCAACACCTTGAATAGTTCGTTTTGCAAATCCTTCACCGTCTTGGTCTTCAACTGGATTGCAAAATCCTGGATGTAGTGTCCTCCTTCGAATACGTCTAGATCGATTTTTTGGAAGATAGAACTGGCTAGGGTTGTCTTGCCAATGCCGGGCATCCCCCAAAACCCTATTACGCGATTGCGTTGTGGATCAGTCTCCAGTAATTTATCAACTGCTTCAATCTCCGACTCGATACCAACCAGTCCTTCTGTGATAGGAGAAGAATTCGGTCTAATTGCTTCTAGCACACGTTTAGTCACTTCTTTGACCAGATGACTCTCAGGCCTAGATAAAAGAAGAAAGTTAATAATTTGCGTGACGAGTATCCACTCATAAAATTCAATTACTTGCAAAGAAAAGGATGGTTAATGAAAATTTATATATGTATTAAACACCATTAAAATTCCGACTCTTATTTTATTGTATATTTATCTAATCTTATCTCACTGTTGTTTCTTTTGCTGTTCTTTTATAGACTTGCCTTTTTTCTTTTGTCTTTCTTCTTGTGAGGTTTCATGGACTTGCCTTTTTCCCATATCAACATAATTCGTCGCCATTACTAAAAAAAAAAAAACATAATGTATTTCTACTTTATTTCACCACAAATTAATATATCTTGCCACACTAAAGTCGGTGACTAAAAGTTTCCGTCCCGTATAGCGTTCGATCATAATATTATTATTGTTTTTAATTTGATTCGTGATGCATATATATTATAGCTAGTGCAATTAATCAATTATTATAGTTATGAAAAAAAAAGCATCAATAAACCCGTTAAAAAAACCATTAATACGTACGTGGTGACTTGGGAATCAAACCCAGAAGTGTCGGCGGCTTCCTTGAGCGCAGCTTTCCAGTTTTCGAGCTTGGCCTCGTCATTGGGAAACTTGGCCTTGTGTTCAACAAATGCATCTTTGTAGCTCGCTTCTTGGTTCCTAACGTGGGAAGGTGCCACTCCACCGTAAAACACCGGAATCATCTTCCGCCCGTACTTTTTCGTGCACTCCAAAATCCTGACGAGCTCGTCGAGACACCAACGAGAGGTCGCGTAGTTCGGGGAGAAGATGACGACGTACAACGAGGATCTCTCGATCGCCTCGATGAGGGATGGCGCGATGATGTCGCCTCGTTTGAGGTTCACGTCGTCCTTGTAGGTGAGGATGTGTTTTTCGTTGTTCATGTAAGCGAAGAGGTGGCTGAGGAAGAAGTTTCGGACATCGGTGCCTCTGAAGCTGATGAATGCATCGTACTTGGGCAAGAGGTCGTTTATAATTTGATCGTCGTCTGGAGATCGCCAAATACAAGGTATGGTTTACTCCATCAGTTTCAATTTTTTTTTTACGTGGATTTTTTTTATATTGTTTTTCCCCTTTGGAATCTGCTGGTAAACGGCGTCGTTCTGGACGTGCATGCATCATGCATGCAAGTGAAGTGACTTTACTAAGGGGTTTCTCGTTTGTTCTTTCTATATGTTTCTCCGGTTATTTATCCAGTTATGATTATTGATCTGTAAGTTGGGTATATTTGGGATCTGTAAATGGTCTATTTGATTAATCCATTATACGTATCAGACCACCCTAATACGATCATATCAGAGGTAGTAAAACGCGTGTTTTGTAGCTTTTACAACTCTTAATCTTTGTACCTTAAACCCATGTCCTTAACATTAATTATTACATGTGGTAACTAATTAGTTGATTAACAGGTGGGAGCTCCGGCTCGCGTGGGTCTGATCGCCCCAATTGACGTCACTGTCCCTCCAGGCAACACCGGGCTTGACCCCTCTCAGACTTCCTTCTTTCAGGTTCATCACTCTCCCACTACCCTAAAAACTAATTCGCAAATCGTCATTATGAAGAATACCAGTTACTAAATCACAATCTATGAACGTGTTTAAAATTAGGTGCTGAACATCCCGACCAAGATCAACAAAGGCACGGTGGAGATAACGATGTCGGTGGAGCTGATCAAGAAGGGCGAGAAGGTGGGATCGTCCGAATCCGCGCTTCTCTCGAAGCTCGGCATCCGTCCTTTTTCCTACGGCCTCATCGTCACCTCCGTCTACGACGACGGCAGCGTCTTCAGCCCCGAGGTGCTCGACCTCACCGAAGACGACGTCGCTCTGAAGTTCGCTTCCGGGGTCACCAACCTCACTTCGCTCTCGCTGGCCGTCTCGTATCCGAGTCTCGCCGCCGCGCCGGCCATGTTCGCTGCTTCGTACAGGAACGTGCTCTCCGTTGCCGTCGAAACCGAGTATAGCTTCCCCCAAGCCGAGGACGTCAAGGAGTACTTGAAGGTAATTCCTTTCTGTTCCAATGAACTTTCGCTTCTATATTTTTTGGGATTAATGCTGATTTTCACCGTTTGACATTTTTTTTATAAGGGTGATATAGATTTCTTTTTATCCCTAATTTTTGTACTTTTACGAAAATGAGTTCCTTTGCAAATGTTTTTACAAACGTGTCGTTTTCAAATTTCAATTCGACATTATTTGGTGGAGTTTGCTGTTAAATGTAGGGTGGTGGTTCGGTTAAATCAAAAATTGAATTAGGCATTTGACCAAAATTCGAGTTGTTAAGAGTTTATCGATTTTGGTTAAACTATTAATGAATTCGGTTTCAGTATGAATATATCAGAAAATAAAAAAACAGACCTTGCATTAAAGCTTATCGGGTTTCTACCAATTTATCAAGAACTTCATCTTAACCAAATCTGTTAATGGGCTATTAATTTTTACCCGTTAAGGAAAATCGATAAGCCTATAAAGCCAGTTCGATTTAAATTAAAAACCAAAACCGAATCCGAACAGCCATACCTAGTTAGGTGTGAGCTTAATTTTGAGGCGGATTTGGGCTTGTTGATAAGAGAAAGGAATTTGGGTTGGGGGGGGGGGGGGGGCTAAAATTAGAATTAATTTCATTCATAAACAAGTTTAAATTTAATCCCCCGACTAATTGGTTCACAATACTTTGTTGCTATTCAAGGATCTCCGTATGACGATTTTAATTATCATACAAATGGCTGATGTTGGAATCTTGTGATGGATTTCAGGATCCAAGCAAGTTTGCAGCTGCAATGGCGGCTCCGGCAGCAGCGGCAGCTCCTAGCGGTGGAGGAGCTGCGGCCGGTGGAGGGGGAGCTAAGGAGGAGAAGAAGCCTGAACCAGAAGATGATTCGGACGACGATGTCGGCATGGGTGGCCTTTTTGATTGAGCTGCATTGCATGGTAACCACTTTGCTTTGGTAGTTAGTTCAGGAATTGCTAGCTTGTAGCTAGTGCCTGTTTTTGGTCTTTGTTTGCTTTCCCTCATTTCCCTTTCTCTATTTGAACTCCATAGGCGATTTTGGCTCTTCTGTCAAAGTTGTGCAGTAGAATTGGCACTTCTACTGCAGACAGTTCCTAAAGAAACGAACTCCCTGTCAACACCAATCAAGCATATCATTCATCCATTAGCAATAATTCACTAGCAGAAACAGAGTTGATAGTTTTGGCTTTGGTTAAGGAAGAACATACACACCTGCAATGCGAAGTTGATGTCAGCTTCATCTACTGTTAATGTCACCCTCTTCAGTTTATCGTCACCGCGAGACTGTCCTAGTTTCACTAGTCCCTGTAGTAATAAAGAGTAAAAATTCTGGTCACTGGTTTTGATGAGAAAAAAGGCTGGGAATGAAAGTTGTGTTAATGGATGTGTTATGTTACTTGCCTGGTCATTCAGCACTCTGCACATACTCAGAAACTCAGAAATTCCGACTGGTGGGATCATTCTCGATTTGCATGTCTCGACGTAAGATTTGTTCAGCTGCAATCAATGATTCGAACAAAGCTAATGTTGAAAAAGACTATCTAGATGTTCAGTATCTATGCATCTTGGTAGAATGGTAAGAAAAGTAGCTCACCTCTCCTACTATAGTATCCTTCTTTCCTCCACGGAAGAACTTAACAGCTGAGCATAGGATTATCTGCAATTTTGGTTGAGTTAGGTTAATGACACAGTGTGATATTGTGATTGAATCATCCTATGGTTTAGCTGGGAAAAGAAGAAAAATAGACTCACTTGTTGATGCTGAGGAAGGGATTGAATGGTGTCGATTACTGGTGTCCTGAATGCCTTTGATAGAGCAGCTGCCATGTGATCAATTTTCACCTGCAGCGGGTTTAGCAAGTCATTGAGGGACGGATTAGAACATGGGCGAGATGAAAATTTAATGAGAGGCTTGTTTCTTGACGCTGAAAGGTTAACATGTTAGGTTTCTTCTACTGTTAGAGTTAGGGAGTGTGGGTTATATTGGATGATGCAGGGCAGGAAATGACTTACAACTGAATTTCCTTGAGTATCTGAGTCCATGTTATTCGTAGAGTCTCTTACTTCTGCTTCCAGAACCTCAACTGCAGATCTGGAATAAGGGAACAGGATTTTCTGTTTAGTCAAGTAAAAGATTGTGAAAGTGTTACAGACAGCAATTCAACTTCACCATTTGGCAAACACATAGCAAAACTTGAGAATACAAGCCAAAACAGACTAAGGAAAGAAACTGCAAACCTGCAAACAGAAAGTGCTTTGCGCATGTCACCAGATGCAGCTGCAACTTTCTGTAAACACGAATCAATTGGCAAATCAATCTGATGAAATTCTGTTTTCACAACAAAATATTGGAGAGCCAATTAGACAAAAGATGTGTACTTACTCTGGCACACAGCTCCAAAGCTTGTGGGTGGAAAACTACATGAGGTAGTACCTGGGACACAGCAACAACACATCATACAATCAAAAGCCGGCATATGATTTTCTTAATCACATCAAGTTGCTACTTCACCAAATTCAATTAACCCTTACACGAAATCTAGAAAGTAGAAAGAAAATATTGAGGGTTACCATGAGCCTCTCCTGAAGGATTCTGAGTATTTGATCTTTCGAATAGGCTCGATAAGTTACCACCAAGGGCTTACCTATCACAAAGACAGCGATCAAACAATTCAGCACATACTGAAATCGAAGCTCATAACTAACACCCAGTCCACATTCAAATTCTTCTCACAATGTTGGCCAAGCAATGGGAGATTAACACAGTGAAAGACAGTTAACCCGAGCAAATACATCTTCGGCCATTGTTCTACACATTAAAATACCAATTCAAAAGGCTTTTCAGCGAGTGATGAACTCACAATTCAATGACTGCAGTTTCGGAAGAAAACGGTCAGCTAGATCTATGGCATTTGCTATTCCTGCAAAAGATAGAACACATAGCAAAATTTAATCTTCCTACATGAACAATCCAATAGCTGCTCAGGTTAATATTGCCAAGAGCATTACCTATCAGTATACATCTAGAGAAAGGAAGAGTTGTCAGCATGAAGAGATCATGAAGGACAGCTCGGTCTTTGGTAATTAGATAATCCAACTCATCAACAATTATGAGGCTGCAATGGCAAAATCATTGGTTAGTTCCATCTCTAGAAGATCAGATCTATGCTTTCATTTGCCAATAAACAGTTCTTAGTAGGATTGTTCCGCAATCATACAGTATAGGGGACTAAGTTCTATGGTTCTTACAGCATCTTTGAACTTGAAGACTGCTGCTTTTGAGAGTACACATTCTGGAGATGTTGCAAAGGGGCAATGGTTCCACTGGTCTTCACTTTCACATAACCATTATCAACAATCTGCCAAGCACAAATTGTTAGCACAGATAGCAAACTCATTGCATTTATTTCAACCATCAGCAGGTACTGGAAACCCTCAATCGATATTACCTTCCCGAAAATCTGAGAAGAGCTCGTAAGCGCGGTACAATTAATGGACAGTACCTCTGGAGGCTCAAACCCACCCTAACAAAAGAGAAAGGACTCTTAACTGAGATTGAAGTTGAATAAAACAGTTAACTTGCATTTAAAATTTTCAATTGGCACAGTGCAGCATTCTATCCTTACATCTCTGGCCCATTTAATCAGCTGATTCGAAACTTTCTCCATTGACAAACTCTTCCCTGTCCCAGGGCATCCGCACACATACAAGCTCCCAGATTGTTCCTTCTCAACACAAGCCTTGCAGAAATCAAACACTCTTCTCTGCTCTTCTTCGCGACAAACAATCGTTGGTGGAGATGTCGATACGTGCAACGCCTCCTTCACCGCGCTCACTTGGGACGCATCTACCGAACCGAACCAATTGTACAAAATTTAACAATCAGCTCAATTGAGAAATGAAAAAAATACTAATCAAGAATAAAACCAACTGGCTATCTCTTTCTCACTCTCTCACCACTAGGATTCCAGTTGAGTTTCTTAGAGAAATCCTCGCTCAATTCCTCAGCAAGCGATTTCGATGAGTTCGAAACCGGTCCAATTGAATCGTTCCTTGTTGACTACACAGCGAGAGAAAAATCAGATCAGATACCTTTAGCCTACACTCCATTTTTTGAGCGAGGAGAAAAAGAAAACTCACGACGGTCGGATGAGAAGAGGGAGAGGACTCGAGACATCGGCGGGGCGACTTCCGCTTCGTCGGAGCAGATATCGGGGTTTCCGGCGCCGCTGTGGAGTTGGATCTCAGTCTCCGCTTCTGAGGAGTAAGCGATTCTTCTACGGACCGGGAAACAGCGAGAGAAGGCATTGTTTTTTTCAGATTGAAGATTGTTCCGACTGATCCAAATTCGGCGATTGAGGGGATAATTTGCTACTGCTGGTGAGAAGAGTGATTTGAAGTTGAGAATTAGGGGAAAAATAGGTACAGATATGGAAGGGAAAGAGGTTTTCTTCGCGGCAAAATGTATCCGTAGGGAATTGATCTCCCGCCTCCAAATTTGCGCCCAACTCAAACGTCGTTGGCGCCACATTTTTGGGCTTCTGGCCGTCTTTTCCTTTTGGTGGATTGAACTCATCTTTTGGGATATCCTTTGTGGGCCGCATTTTTTGTAGTCTGGACTCTAACCATTTGGGCCTGATATTTGTCATTTATCTCTAATATGCAGGTCAAAACTACTAATTCCTATTTGCAGCATAAATCATAGTCAAGCAGCAGATCATCATCAGAGGATCTCATCAATACAGAAAAATGAAGGATTGAATGGTAACGAAAAAAAATCTGTGATATGATATTTTGTGGTACGGATGTGTTAAATCATTTCATACTGAAATTTTAACATGATCAAACGATACAGTGACAATCACTATAACAAATAACACTTCTTTTTACAATAGAAGTAGTCCTTTTATGTATAGTATATATATATATATATATATAGATATAAAAATAGAAAATATATATTTCTTTGTTCACAAAAGTTTATGCGTAGATTATATATCGAAGTCACCGAGTTCAGTACCAAATCAAAATAGATAATATAAACTCATCGTACAGGTCAAAACAAAGAAATAATGTACATGGTGTGAGTATCGCATTGTTAGGGGAAATCTAAATGTTGTCCGAGCAAAGGTTGGTCAGCAAGGGTGTTCTAGTGTGTTATAGATTATTGTGTAAGACTTGTATTATTTGATGGTACCATGTAAATTGCTAGAAACAGTGGCGGACCTAGAATTTAGCGATAGGTGTGTCGGCCAATAAAAATAAATTTAAATTAATTAAATATATTTAAAATAAACATAAGAATTTTATTCATAAAGTTCACCAATGTCATTATTTTTTACAGTGAACCGCGATGAGTTTTCATCTTCTGAAAGCTTTCTTAATTACACATGTCCATTAGATTGCAAATCAAATCATTTATGTAAATAACTAAACAATTATTCATAAATTGGTAACTCAATTTATAGCAAAGATTGCTCTCGATTAATATTAATTCATATATAGAAAATATCATTTTGTACCTTGCAGTTGCAAGAGGTAAAGTCAACACCAATTTAAAAGGGAAAGCAAGTATGAGAAGCTAAAAGAGTGGCCATAGGCACCAATATGAAAGTTGAATGAGAATGAGGATGTCGTCGGTTCGACGTCGACAATTGAAGGGTGGCGACAAGTGTCAATGTAGAAAGAAATAACTAAACTAGAAAGCAACTTAAAAATTAACTTAAAGAGAAATTATATGGAAGAAGCTATGGTGAAAGACAGTCTAGAATTCACTATCTAATTACTTAACTAAACCAACTTATTATTCAATTTATTTATCATTCAAACTATCGAGATTATCTCGAAGGTGATAACTATCTTTCTGAATACTCTTGTACAACCAACTAATTAATTACCCAATATGAAGTACGATAACTCCTATATTTACTTACTTTGATAACATTATGACAATAATTTTTTCTGTAATGAATAAGGTGTGTCAGTTACAATTATTGTCGGTGTTTTGGAGCTCTCGTGTTCGAAATTTTTACACAAAAAAGTGGGTTCCTCACAAAAGTTTCGTACCCGATACACCTTCATTAAAGATGGGTCCGCCCCTGGCTAGAAACATGTATAATGTATGGCAGGCTAACCCAATAAAGCGAGCCTTCCTTTGGATGATTACGCACGACAAGGTTCTCACTCATGATAATCTGAAAAAGCGTGGTTGGAGCCTTGCGAGCAGGTGCTCCCTGTGTTATTCGGCAGAAGAAAGTGCTAATCATTTGTTTTGGAAATGCACCTACAGTTGCAACATTTGGCAAGCTCTTCAGCAAATGATTGAGGTTGTTGGTCCATTTTCTGCACATTTAACATATGTTATTAAAGGATGGAGCTTCAAAAGCAGCGAGTCTTGGAAGACTCGGATTATTCAAGGATCTATTCATGCTTTCATCTGGGAAGTTTGGAAGGAGAGAAATGCCAAAACTTTTCATGATAAACAAAAAATATTGCAGGTCATTTTCCACAACGTTTGCAGGGCTCTTCTAAACTGGGAGAACGCTTGTGGACTAATGACAAATCAGAGACGCGAGGATTGGCTCCCCCGTATGTAGCGCGTGTGCTCCCTTCCCAGCATTAGAAATTCTCGAGACCCCAGTTGGATTTTGTAGAGTGACTCCGGGTCTTTTGTGCTCCTATCTCGCCGTGTGATTGTTCTCTTTTATGTTTGATTGCTGTTGGTACGTTTGTTTTCCTTTTTCCGCAGGGACGTCTTGGTTCGTCTAACGGGTGGTCTTGGGTCTCTGTTCCGAGACTCTGTTATGTCAGTCTCCTGTCTTTGGGTCGCACTGGAGCGGTCTGGTCCGCTTATTGCGTTTGGTTTGTGTGTTCCTTTCGTTCCTCTCATAAAGCATTCTTAAACTCACCACACCACAAGTTGGGAAGATTCCGGATGGTTCCACGAAGGAACGAAATCTTGGAACAATAGCTCAGATTGAGCCGCAGAAGGTCTTTCATTGACCCCAGACATGAGATTCGAGCAAAAGATCTCTCGATTATAGTTGATCCCAATACCTGCTTTACGAAATCCTAATGCAACCAAAATGATGATTGGTAATAGAAAATCGAATTTTGTAGTGCTATTCCCTTCCATCATCATAGTTAACAAAGACGGGGTGGTGGGGATTGATACGTTAGTAAATGATATATGATCTATAATTGAACATCTCCCAATAATGAGATCAACTCGTTCTTGAAATGAAATGGTATCAGAGTTCTGTGAAAGAGAGGTCTTCTGTTCAAATTCCTATGACCCCATTTGTTTTGTTAAACACATGTAACTGTACAAACTCGAATTACTAAAAAATGTAGGTTTAATTTGTACATGAATAATCTCATCACCATGGGACATCATCCACCTTTTAATTGTCCAAAACTATAAATAAAAGTAGAGGGCGGGCATATAGAGAAGACAGGAGAATTTATTTGTTCATTCTTAAGAGAAAAGGAAACAATCCTAAGATACCCGATTATTACTTATTTTGGCATGCAAATTGATTCCAAAGTACATATATAGATCGCTGGTTTTATTCATTTCACCGATGACCTGGAAATTAAGGACCACATCTTGATATATATGGCCGACTGGTTATGGAATTGGCGGATATGTTATGTCACAGTCAATCTTAATTATTTGAGCTAACTTTGAAAAAAAAAAACCCAGCAAACATGTTGATGATAAACTTCTGGACCATCAACTCCTAGCAGGACTATTCATAAAAAAAAAAAAAATCAACTCCTAGCAGGACTGATGGGAAGAACATGTGCATCGTGAATCAAACAGTTCCTCCTTATGGCGAGGAGAATGATCATTAGTGCTTTATAATTTAGCTGGAACTCGTTGAACCATTTCGAATTTCCTGCTACGAGAATTAAAAGTAGAGAGTAAGAAGATATTCGTAATTAATTATGAGTATATAAGTCTTTCATATTTTCAGAATTAGATGGGATGAAATGTTTGGATCAATCCTTCATTTATCGAGTCGTAGCGCGGTGGAAATCAAATTGTTTTGAATTGAGATGTGAGATGATATATAAACAAATCGAGTCGGCTCAAATCATATTTAGCGGCGGAGCCACATGAGGCCAATGTGGGTCATTTGCACCACCTTGGCCCAAAAAAATGTGGAGTAAATTTATTTATATGATTGCTGATTGGATATAAGATCTCTATATTATTGAAGATAATTTTACGAAAACTCGAAATTAATGTTTTGTTCTTAGGGTTTTTGTACTTTTGTTGCTATTGGTTGTCATTATATTCAAATGTTGAAAGAACACCTATGCAAGAAGCAAAGTAAAGAAGCACTTAAGAATAATATGAGTTGTGGAATCATGAACGACTTTTTTGTTGTGATATCTTAACATCCCTCATAATTTGCATGATAAATGTATTTTAGAAAATTTTCAAAACATGAACACTTTCTGCAACATATGTTATATATATATTTTTCCACGTTGAGTTACCTTAGATAAATTTCTGGCTACGCCATTGATCATATTGCGAAATGAATGATGGAGGGTGCGCTCGTAATTGGCTCATTGGGACGATATAGACATATAGTTAAAGCCACGGCTACTTGTTTTTGGATACTGGTCGACTCCTACAACGAGTCCCTTTCTTTCATTTTCTGGTTATTTATCATTTCACCAACTTTGTGGTTGGTTTTTATTTTTATTACAAGGAGGCGATAGGCCAAAGAAAGCAGGAAAATACCATGGTCCATTAAACCGTACCGTACCGGCGGTTCATCCACAAAATATCATTATTGAAGGCTAAACCGATAGGCGGTATTTAACGGTATTAATGATTGAACTACGGTTCAACCACAATTTTGCCATAAAATACTCTATCGCTGACTTTTCCGATACGGTCTCCGGTACGATTTCATGGACCATGGAAAATACACGAAATGTTTTCGATTAGGTTTGTGTTGAATGCACGCGTGGTCCATTTTAGGCTTTTAGCAGACATGGATGTTCTTTAAGAGTATTTTTCAGATTTTTAATGTCTGTTTTATTGGCCGGACCAACAACTCGGCTGTTCATTTGGTTGCAAAAAATGGCATTTCCTTTTCTCATGTTTATTGGTGTTTGATTTACGTTTTGGTTTAAGACATTGTATTGATTTGTAACATTTTTCTTGATGATACGAGTGATCTACCGAAAAAAACTAAAAAAGTGTAGTGACAACATCAAATTTGACTCTTAAATCTACTTTTAGAGTTTGGTGCACAGTGAAAACTCATTTTTGTAAGTGCACTCTAGTCACCATATATTTACATATGTTAGCAACCTTGTAACAATAAATTCCGTGCAGCATAATGAATGTGTATCAGTTAAAATTATCGGAGGTGTGTAGAAGGTCACGAGTTCGAATTTTTTGTTATGAAAAAACCTAGGCCCCTCACAAATTTATTGGTAGAGGTTTTTCGGACTACACACTTTGTCATCACTTGGTTCAGCCCTTGCCGGTTGTCCTTCTTCTCGCGATCGCAGAGCGTCGTAACTCGAGATTGGGAGATGCTCACATACATACGAACAAGAGAGGCCCAGGCCGCGGCATACTTGCAAACAAACCAATAAAAGGATGCACAGTTTCAGACTGTGGCGGACCCAAAAAATTTACCTACGACGTCCTCTTTCGTAATTAAAATAATCATTTAAAATTGAAAATAATAAATTTTAAAATAATAGTTGTGCAACTAGTACAAGTTACGATGAAATACCTTGACATGTTTTTTGTATTATGAAAAAAACTGTTAAATGCATGTTTTTGTATTATGAAAAAACTGAAAAATACACTCGGTCGCTATGGTACTCAACAAATCCTTTTCAGTACATGATATTGCATAATCATTCACGAACTTATTGGATATTCAAATTCAAAACTTATTCTTGATGTAGCCTAAATATGAAAAACATCTTTCGGCACTTGCAGCTGTAATTGGTAAAATTAATACAAATTTGAGAAGAAAATAATCTAATGAATATGATAGAGTCGCTTTTGCTTCTTCATAAACTAAGCTAATTCATAAATTCCTTTTAATCTAATGAATAACTCATCACACAATGATAATAATTCGCAAAATGTCGTAAAAGAAATAAGTAAGAAAGGTGAACTAATCAATCCGGATGGCAAGACTTATTAGCTATTCTTCTTGTCAAAAGCGATAAACTCGTCCTCCTAGCTGAACAAGTCATAAGTCAACAACCTAGCATTCACCTCATCAAAAGGGTAGTTCAACTCTTGTAGTCGCATATCAAGAACCCAGTAAAAAACAATTCAAGCTGATAGTGATGCAACTTTCGTCAATATCATAAGGGTGGGAGATTGAGAATTTAATTTTTAATGTTGGGATGAAAAATGGGGGAAATTGAGTTTAATTGGACTTCCTTTTATATAATCATTCAAATTATGTTTTAACATAACACTAAATAGCTTGGAGTGTAATGTATAATACTTTCTCAAATAGTCACAGTGTTGCAAGTTTGAATTATAAAGACTACTATCTAGCTAGTTCCTTTTCTTATCCTCTAAACTCAAAGAAACGACTATCAGAAGGTCAATAAATTCCCCAAAATTTAGAAGTTTATCGAGCAATCTTGAAGGCCCATCGATCCACCTCTACTCGAAACTCAAACTCCTACTGGAGGATCAAAAATTTCACCCCCAAATTTTAAGACTATCAGAAGGTCAATAAATTCCCCAAAATTTAGAAGTTTATTGAGCAATCTTGAAGGCCCATCGATCCACCTCTACTCGAAACTCAAACTCCTATGGGAGGATCAAAAATTTCACCCCCAAATTTTAAGGGTGTCCCGAGCCCCATAAGTCCACCACTACCTTCAGAGACACACATATGTCGTCGAGAATGATCTAATCTTGACAAAACCATTGAGTGTATGAATATGAATAGTACCATCGATGTAGCCGCCAACAAGGTCGAGCCCGTGAAAGCAGTTGAGCACGCCACGACGGAAATTAAGTTGGCAACGGTGAGCCTGAGTGGTGAGGTGAGGAGGCAGCTGGATTGAACGCGACCAGCGCAGGAAGAAGCGAGCAGTGGGCTCGACGAAGAACAGAAAAAGGAGGAATTAAGAGTTGTTAAGAATTTAAGATCTTAGCTCTGATATCATATTGATGTATCGTCTAATTAAGACAGCCTCTTCTGTGGACCATTATAATTAATGTTGTCGTCGTCTATCGTCGTGGTCCTGAGTGCGCACTTGTAGTGTCCTTTTCCAGCAAAGAAAGAGTGGTAGGTAACCGAAACTCCGGACTTGTCGTCTATCGACATTTCCGTTTCTACATTCTATTCATGTCTGCTGGAACGTTTGTAAAGTTTCTTCACTTTTTTTTTCTCTCTCTATAAGTGTGTTTTTATAGGGTTAGACGATACAAGAATTCATGGAACACATCGCTTTTGGAAGAATTAGCTAGAGAAGTTTCAATGGAGTGCGAATGAATTTGGGAGATAATAATAATATATATCACTAAACTTGAATTTTGATTGGCCATAAAGTGACTCTTGACTAATCTTTGTTGCTGCTTAGTTCATGACAATTTGATGGGTGATGAACTTGGAAGAGAAGCAGGGGCCAATTTAAGTGTTTTTTTTCACTTTTTATATTATATTTTGGTCACATAGTTGACAAATTATTGTCCCCAAAGATAAAAGTATAAAGAGATAGTTTGTTCTTAAATATCATTTTGAGGACAATTTATTGACTATGATATGTCACCTACAAGGACCGAATGGCGACCCTAGATAAAAGCGGGCAATATAGTGTCTCTAACTAGCCAATACTGTTATGAGCTGGACTCTTAGGGACAATATTTTGTCCTTTATATACTAATATTTAGGGGGACGACTTATCGTCGTCGAAGTTTTGCTAATAGGGACGGCATATTGTCCCTCAGGAAAAAGAACCGAGATTGCAACTCATGAGTATCGGGGACGACTGTCGTCCCTAGTATAGAGGACAAGCGTATAAGGGACGAAACAACGAGGAGGACTAGTTCGTTTGGTCTATATTTCACGCATGATCGTCCAAGACAGCCTTTTCTTGGGGACCATAATATGAGCTGAAAGAGTTTGGTCATCATCTCGTCGTGGTCGTAAACTTGTGGTAGTTCACCGTCCACGGTGCCGACCACTGTGGTCCTTCTTCCAGCAAAGAAAAGAGTGGTAGGTACTGAATTATGCCAGCTCCGGAATTTTCATGGTATATGTCATACTGAGCTGTCTATATAAGCCTGCAGCGCCAGCACTTGTGATATAAACCAAACAGTAGAGAGCCATACCTTGCTAATCATCTCTATTTCCAGAAGAAGAAGAAGAAGAAGAAGAAGAAGAAGTGTGTTCTCGGGAATGGAGGTTGGAGGTTCTCTTCCTGTTCCCAATGTTCAACAGCTTGCTTCGAGATACGAGGGTGTGCCCGTTAGGTACATACGTCCTGAACTCGAGCTCGAACGAGTTTCTAATGACGAGTATGATCGAATTCCACTTATCGATATGAGCAAGCTGAATGATGTTCGTGATGATGAGGCCGCTAAATTGCATTCGGCTTGTAAGGATTGGGGATTCTTCCAGGTATGACTCGTGATCAAAATCCTTAATATATTTTGTTTTTCTTTTACCAAGTTATCAACCGGCCATTCAAATGGATATTATACTACTTGATCAAAACTAGAGATTGATATTTATGTCAAAATGTAGGTGATCAATCATGGGGTTGCCGAAGAGGTGATCCTGAAAATGAAGGCGGATATTCAAGAGTTTTTCAGCCGACCATTGGAAGAGAAAATGGAATATGCACAACTGCCAAATGGGATTGAAGGATACGGCCAAGCGTTCGTTGTATCGGAAGAGCAGAAACTTGATTGGGGTGATATGTTATACATCAATGCACAACCTGTTAATCGAAGAAACATGAGGCTGTGGCCATCTTCGTTAAGGTTTGTTCCCTTTCCATCACTTATTCAAATAAATGTATACATGTCTTCGTAAATTGGCATATCTTTGTAAGTTGACCACTTTAAAATGTCTAATGTTCTAAAAACTGAACCGGGTTTAATTATTCTCAATCAGAAAACCATCATAATTGTTAGTTTTGCTAATTGCCTTAAATTGGTAAATCATATTAATTGTATAGATTATATTGGATCATGATATACTCTTATCAAGATTCTTAACAATTTTTCCACCACTAAACCTTAGCTAGGCTAAGAACATTAATTCTCATATACCTTCATAAAAACCAACATTAAATTTAAACTCGTTACCCATTCACAAAATTAGTATATTTTAGCCTAGATTACGACCTATATGCGACAAGTTTGCCTTCTCTATCACTCACTAACCAAATGTTCTGGCTTGTCCTTCTTCCATCAGGGCATCTCTCGACCAGTATTCAATAGAACTGGAAAAGGTGGCTCAAAGCTTGATGATTTCCATGGCTAAGAACCTTGGAGTGGAGCACGAAAAGCTGCTCGATTTGTTCAAAGAAGGTGTGCAAACGGTGAGAATGAACTACTATCCGCCATGTGAGCAAGCTAGCAAGGTTATCGGTATTGCCCCACATTCCGACGGCAGTGGATTGACTCTGTTGAATCAAGTGAATGAAGTACAAGGTTTGCAAATCAAGAAGGATGGAAAATGGGTTCCCGTTGATCCCATTCCAGGTGCATTCATTGTTAATGTCGGCGATATTATTGAGGTAATAATTAAACACTCTTTAGCATATATAAAAACCATTTCATCTTTATTTTAACCTTGTGAATGCATTGACCACAGATTATGAGCAATGGAGTATACAAGAGCATAGAGCACAGAGCTTTAGTGAACCATAAAAAAGAGAGACTGTCAATCGCAGCGTTTCACGATCCAAACGTCGACGCTATGATTGGGCCAATGCCAAACCTTCTCAACCTAGATCAAGAGAAACAAGTACCAAATTATAAATCCATATCGCACCAAGATTTTAAGAAGCTCGGGAGGAAAATGAAACTCGACGGCAAAAACAAAGGCTTGATTCAATATCTGAAAATACAAACCGAAGAAGAGCAATGAATTTAAGCCCCTCCATTGTCAAAAAGTAGCCGAAAAGTTCATAACCTTTAAATCATGCCAGTGGAATGTTTTTCCAAATGCTAAAGGAATGTTGTTGGTGAGAAGAAGTGATATTGCAGCAGCTGAAGAAGTCCTTATCCTATTTGGAAAAGGATCGAAAGTATGGCGCCAAGTTCAAAAGTATCAGTGTCAATAAAAGGAACAGTGTCGTTTTCGTTCACTGTTAGTCGAGTCTCTCATTTGATTTATTGTTAGTTGAGTCCTTAAAGTTTTATTTTGTTTCAGTTAAGTCCCGTCAGTAGTCAGAAGTGGTTGAGACTTGAGAGATTGCAACTGAGTCTTAGATCATGGTTGCTCATTTTCAAGACTGTGGTTTAGTGCTTAGAGTGGTGTAATCCTTGTTTTTGACTTAATCAAATGTTCTTATCTTTGTATTGTTCATTTCTAATAAAACTTGTCAGATTGAAAGTCTATTGAGTCTTCATTGTTCTATTAGAGTTCAAGCAAGCTATAACCAAAGCTATCAAGCTAGTTCGAGTGATTAGTTGAGTGAAGTTTTGCTGTCAATTGCAACCTGGGTTTGGGAAACACTAGTGATGTTGTGAGTTGTGAGAGTTCTTGACCAATAAGTGAGTGAAATATACTACTGTCAAGAGGTGATATTGTGGTTGGGAAAATGATTGATACAAAAAGCATTGCTCAAGTAGGTCTTCCAAGATTTGATGGTTGAGTATTATCACTAGAGTCCATTGATGGGGAATTTGCTTTGTTCAAAAGAGTACTGGAGTGTGTTGCAAATCAGATTCAAAGAAACATATGTTGGTGCAAGTAAGGCTGCAAATGAGTCCAATCGAGTGGAGTTATTGCTTAGCTTGAGTTCGACTCGTTTATAAAATTTTTAGCTCGAGCTCGGTTCGAACTCGAATTTAGCTCGAGCTCGACTCGATTAAAAATAATCCAGCTCGAGCTCGGCTCGATAGAGCTCGATAAATGCTCATTAACACAACTTGTCAAGCTGAGTACAAGCTCGACTCAAGATAAGCTCGATTTGAAACCATTGTTGCTGAAAAATGTGTACAAATAAGAACATTAGAAATTAAAAATGATAAAAAGAACACTAGAAACTAAAAATAACATCTAACTTCCATACACTTCCTCATTAACAAGATAATTTTCATGTTCAGAAGAGTAATTAATCCTTCCACAAGCTTTAAACAAGCCAGCTCGCGAGCTTAGCTAAACAAGCCACCGAGTCAATAGCTAGCTCATGAGCTTATCAAGCCGAGCATGGCCTAGCTCAAGTTTGGCTCGTTTAATAACGACCCGGCTTGTTAAACAACGAGTCGAGTGTCGAACGAGTTTTTTCCTATTCGAACGCCGAGTTGCTCGTGAGCGACTTGGCTCATTTGCAGCCCTAGGTGCAAGCCTATCTGACACTGAAAAAAAAAACTCTAGAAGAGCTGAGATTGAAGGATCTAAAAGTCAAGAACTATCTCTTCGATTTAATTGATAAAACCATCTTCAAAATAGTCTCCAAGAAAGGCAAGCCAGAGACTTATGGGATGAAGGAGGGAGAGTCTGTGAATAGTTATTTTGGCAGAGTCATCACTCTAGCTAATGCCATGAAAAATTGTGATGATAAGATGTCCAATGAGAAGATTGTAGAGAAGATTATGAGAACTCTAACAGAAAAATACAATTATGTTGTCTATTCTATTGAGGAGTCTAAGGACATCGAGGAACTACCGGTGGATGCTCTCTTCAGAGCTCTTCTTATTGTTCTTTTTTTTTTACAAAGAGATAAATTTCATTCATGGACCCGATTGTAGTACAAGCGAAGCACATTACAACAAAGGAGAAATAAGATCAAGGATCTGAATCCAATCTGTTGGTAGAGTTCCTTTTGTTGTTTCATTTGCAACCCAGTTCGCACTCTTGTTAAGTCTTCATGGAGTAAAATCAACACGGATTTGGTCGTTAGTCTCTAAGATTTGCTTGATGCAGGCCCTCACTCGCCATTGCCCTGCCGTGTTGTTGCCCTTGATTGCATTAATAAGAACCTGGCAGTCCAAGAAAACCCTTGCAGTGAGGCCTGAAGCCTGTGCGAGCCTGAGAGCCGCCAGCAGTGCCTTTGCTTCCGCCACAATCGGTGATGAACAAAACAAAGTCCCAGCCCTTCCGTCGATTACTTGTCCATGGTTGTTACGTACTACAACACCATAAGCCGCCACCTGGGATTCCGAGAAAAAAGCTCCATCACAGTGGATCTCCATCTAGGGATTTCCTGGCGGTGGATCAATAATCGTACGATGTGGGGGAGGCTGGGGAAGAAGAGAAGTGGATCCTTCGTTGGCTGATCGTTGGTTGATACCACACCAGTCATTGAAGAACCCGATCACTTTTCTGGAGGTCACTTGCAGTTGAGGTCGTACCCCTTTGAAAGTCATCTCGTTTCTAGAGGTCCAAATGGCCCACAGTGTAGCAATGATAGTTGTAGTTGAATGCACTATAGACGTCTCATGGATGTGAAAGATCCACATTAGGATTGGTAAGTCCCGCTATGGCAGAGGGAGGGAAGCAAATGCTTGATTCCACATTGCTCTAGCATGCGCGCACTCGAAGAAGACATGCCAGGTGTCCTCGACTCCTCCATCACACACTGCACATACAGGTGAGACAATCACCTTTCGAAACCAGAGATTCCTCTTCGTTGCAATTGCGTTCCTCGTGATCCTCCAGATGAAGTTGAGCAATTTTGGTGGTAAGGATAAACTCCATAACCACTTCCAAGCCTTGGTGGAACATCCAGGGTGATTGGGATCCTCTGCTCCAGTTTTGCTTCTTTCCGTTGTTCTAAACACATGGTATGCCGACTTGACTGTGAAATGTCCGGACTTCTCAGGATGCCAAAGTTTCAATCCCCCGCCACCACCCGTCTTCAATCACCTCCGGCCTTCTATTGACCCCGGGTTATGGAGGTGGCGATGTCATGTCACAGTCAATCTTAACTATTTGAGCTAACTTTGAAAGAAATACACTATGGACATACTTAAAAGGAGAGGTCTGCAGCTTGCAAGCCGCTGCACTCTTTGCTATCAGGAAGAGGAAAATGTGGAGCACATATTTACCAAGTGCAAATTCATTCAAGATATTTAGAGTGCTATCAAGATGAAGAAGAGTTTTATTGGAAATTTACAGGGTGATTTGCCTTCTGTCATCAACGGAAGACCAGCCTTGACCCCCAGCAATATTGATGAGTGGTTCAATGTTAGCTTTCTTCACTCCTTATTTTGGTCAGTTTGGTTGCAGAGGAATCAGCGAATTTTTAACGACTCTCACTCGTCAGCCATTGTTATTGCGCGGAAGTCAGTCAAAAATGTCATTTACTGGCTAACAGCCCATAAGAAGATCGATAAGGATCAAGCTGCTATTTGGCTTGCTAACTTTCTTTCTTTCTTGATATGATCTGTGGTGTTGGTTTGCCGTGTGTTCTTTCACATGGATGGTTCTGCAGTCCGTATTGGTATTGCTAGTGTTGTTGTTTTTTGTTGTTTTTGTTATCCCTTTCTGTTGAGCAGCAGGGACGGTTTTAGTCCGTCTAGCTTATTGTTTGTTGTTTCCTTTCTTTCCAGTAGTGTGCTGGATTGTCTGTCTCTGATTCGGGAGCTGGTTCAGTTCTCCTGAACCCCTGTTTCTCCTTTTCTTTCCTTTGTACTTGGTACTTTTCTCTTTCTTCTTTCTTCAATAAAATCACCATTATAAAAAAAAAACTTTGAAAAATAAAATTAAAATAAAAACAACAATGTTGATGATAAACTTATGGACCACCAGCTACCAGCTAGGACTATGGGTGGGCCAATGATCTAGACAAATTCAATTTTGGATTGAAGAAAAGAAAAGAAAAAGTCGAAATGAAATTTTGATCGGACAAATTCAAATTAAATGAGCCACTCGCGTACACGGTACACCAGGTCCTTTTCTGGTTATTTATCATTTCACCAACTCAATGGTTGGTTTTTTTCCCCCACTTTAGTTAAGGAGGCGATAGGCTATGAAAGCTGCAGAAGATGTCATCTTAAGAAGATGTGGTAATGAGAGTGACTATTCATGGCATGACAGGGTGGTTGTTTGTACGTAATGTCGGGGATGCATGTCTTAGATAAGTTTTGAACATGAGTTGTGTTGGATGTGTCAAAAATCTTAATCCACAATTCTACTATCTCAACACAATTCCATAAGTCTCAAGGCTACCACCTACATCAATAACTATACCAAAATAATTGAAATAATCTGCAACCATACTCTATACCTACCCATCATCTAAATATTGAGTGCTTGTGAGAGTAGAAGCAGAACAATAGAATAAGAGTCACAGTTCTTATTAACGCAAACCCTTAACTATTATGAAGGCGGTTCACAACGTATAACAAAACAAATTGCAGTAACGAAGGCGTTCTGGTTCACCTGGCTTTGTCTTTGTTCTTTTGAGCTCACACGTTTTATATATAAGCTTCTTGACTCTCATGTACAATTTCCTTTATTTTTTTTATTACTATATTCAATCTCCTTCATCAAAAACTTGCAGGAAGAAGCGGGCAGTGAACTCGATGAAGAACATAAAAAAGAATTATAGGGTTTTGAAGAGTTTAAGATCATAGTTTTGATATCATATTAGGTGACCAGCCATGATTTCATTTATTTTGAACAAGGGTATATTTATACCCAAGGAATTACATAGAAGACTAGCTAGATACAAGAGTGCAAAGGAATTTAAGGACTTGTTTGTCCGTACTACTTTCCATACATGGGTTTAGGGATGACTATACGGTCCGGTCCGGTTAAATTGGAACAAAATTGATCTGGTTTCAGTCCGGTCTTTTCGCGAATATAAGAACAAAAAATTGGATTGGATACAATCCGGTCTTGATCCGGTCTTAACCCGGTCCGGTCCCAATTTGATCTTGATTTTAGGTGTTGGGAGTCTCTTATCCGGTCTTTATCCAGGTTTTTTTTTTACCTCAAATCTAAGCCCGAATATGAGATTGGATTGTTTGCTATCCGATCTCATTCCGGTCCCGATCCAGGTTATACGGTCCGGTTTCGGATAAAACCAAACAGTCCGGACCAAATAGCCGGTCCTATGAAAGAGTTTGGTCTACATTCCACGCATGATCGTCTAAGACCAGCCTTTCTTGGCGACCATTATAGTTAATGTCGTCTCGTCGGTCGTGGACTTGTGCAAGTTCACCGTCCATACGGTGCCAACACTACTCATGGTCCTTTTCGAGCAAAGAAAGAGTGGTAGGTACCCGTTATTGTTATATAAACCAAACAAGAGAGCCATACCTGTTATTGTGATAATAAGTTCAATATACTCTCTATTTCCAGAAGAAGAAGAAGAAGAAGGAGTGCGTTCTCCGAAAAATGGAGGTTGGAGGTTCTCTTCCCGTTCCCAATGTTCAACAGCTTGCTTCGAGCTCCGAGGGTGTGCCCGTTAGGTACATACGTCCTGAACTCGAGCTCGAACGAGTTTCTAATGACGAGTACGATCGAATTCCACTGATTGATATGAGCAAGCTGAATGATGTTCGTGATGATGAGGCCGCTAAACTGCATTCGGCTTGTAAGGATTGGGGATTCTTCCAGGTATGACTCGTGATCAAAATCCTTGATAATTTTTATTTTCTTTTACCAAGTTAGCAATCGGCCATTCAAATGGATATTATATATACTACCTGATCAAAACTAGAGATTGATATTTATGTAAAAAATGTAGGTGATCAATCATGGGGTTGCCGAAGAGGTGATCCTGAAAATGAAGGCGGATATTCAGGGGTTTTTCAGCCAACCGTTAGAAGAGAAAATGAAATATGCACAACTGCCAAATGGCATTGAAGGATACGGCCAAGCTTTCGTTGTATCGGAAGAGCAGAAACTTGATTGGGGTGATATGTTATACATCAATGCACAACCTATTAATCGAAGAAACATGAGGTTGTGGCCATCTTCGTTGAGGTTTGTTCCCTTTCCATCACTTATTCAAATGATTATATACATGTCTTCGTAAATTGGCATATCTTTGTAAGTTGACCACTTTAAAATGTCTCATGTTCTAAAAAATGAACCGGGTTTAATTATTCTTAATCAGAAATCCATCATATTGTTAGTTTTACTAATTGCCTTAAATTGGTAAATCGTATTGTATAGATTGGATCATGATATACTCGTATCAAGATTCTTAACAATATTTCCACCACTAAACCTTAGCTAGACTAAGAACATCAATTCTCATATAGCTTCATAAAAACCCACATTAAATCCAAACTCGTTACCCATTCACAAAATCAGTATATTTTAGCCTCGATAATGAGCGATGCGCGCGACAAGTTTGCCTTCTCTATCACTCACTAACCAAACGTTCTGGCTTGTCCTTCTTCAATCAGGGCATCTCTCGACCAGTATTCAATAGAACTGGAAAAGGTGGCTCAAAGCTTGATGATTTCCATGGCTAAGAACCTTGGAGTGGAGCCCGAAAAGCTGCTCGATTTGTTCAAAGAAGGTGTGCAAACTGTGAGAATGAACTACTATCCGCCGTGTGAGCAAGCTAGCAAGGTCATAGGTATTGCCCCACATTCCGACGGCAGTGGATTGACTCTTTTGAACCAAGTGAATGAAGTACAAGGTTTGCAAATCAAGAAGGATGGAAAATGGGTTCCTGTTGATCCCATTCCAGGTGCATTCATTGTTAATGTCGGCGATATTATTGAGGTAATAATAGCAAAACTGATAGCAAATTGTGATAATTAAGCCTTCTTTAGCATATGTAAAAACCATTTCATCTTTATTTTAACCTTGTGAATGCATTGACCACAGATTATGAGCAATGGAGTATACAAGAGCATAGAGCACAGAGCATTAGTGAACCACAAAAAGGAGAGACTGTCAATCGCAGCGTTTCACGATCCAAACGTCGACGCTATGATTGGGCCATTGCCAAACCTTCACACCCTAGATCAAGAGAAACAAGCACCAAATTATAAATCCATATCGCACCAAGATTTTAAGAAGCTTGGGAGGAAAATGAAACTCGACGGCAAAAACAAAGGTTTAATTCAATATCTGAAAATACAAACCGAAAAAGAGGAATGAATTCCAAGCCCCTCCACGGTAAAAAAAAGTAACCGAAAAGTTCAGACCTAATAAATCATGCCAATGTGAATGTTTTTTCTTACGAATAATCATGCTAAAGGAATGTTGTTGTTGAGAAGAAGTGAAATTGCAGCAGCTGAAGAAGTCCTTATCCCATTTGGAAAAGGATCGAAAGTGGCGCGAAGTTCATATGTATCCGTGTCAATAAAAGTAACAGTGACGTCTTCGTTCACTGTTAGTTGTTTCTCTCATTTGATTTATTGTTAGTTGAGTCCTCAAAGTTTTATCTAGTTCCAGTTAAGTCCGGTCAGTAGTGAGAAGTGGTTGAGAGAGACTGCAACTGTGGGTCAGTCGTTAGAGTGGTGTAATCCGTGATTTTGTGAGGAGTTATGGAACAATAAGTGAGTGAAAACACCCATGTCAAGAGGTGATATTGTGTTTGAGAAAATGAGTGATGCAAAAGCTTTGTTCAAGTAGATCTTCCAAAATTCTATGGTGATTATAATTACTAGAGTCTATTGATGGAGAAATATCTGCTTTGTTCAAAAGAGTTATGTAGTGTGGTGCAACCCAGTTTCAAACAAACAGATGTTGCTGCAATCTTGTTTGAGCTGAAACAAAAACTGCGGAAGAGTTAAGATTGAAGGATATGAAAGCCAAGAACTATCTCTTCAATTTCATTGATAAAAAAAAACTTCTTTAAAACAATCTCCAAAGAAAATAACCTTTAAAGACTTATGGGATTCTATAAAAATAAAATTTCAAGGCAATGTCGGAGTTCAGAAGTTAAATCTGCAGGTTATGATTAGGAGAAACTTTGAAATAATTGAAATGAAGGAGGGAGCGTCCGTGAATAGTTATCTTGGCAGAGTCATGACTATAGCTAATGTCATGAGAAACTGTGGTGATTAGATGACGATGAGAAGATTGTAGAGAAGATTATGAGAACTGTCTGTAATAAAAAATTTATTAATTATTAATAGGAATTTGATCATCAGAAGGAGTAATTTTTCACTGGTCGGTTGAGAAGGAGTAGAATCTGTAGGCAGGGGAGGTGAGAGAATAAAATTTTGATCATCAGAAGAAGTAGTTTTTTCACTGGTCGGTTGAGAAGGAGTAGAATCTGTAGGAAGGGGAGGCGAGAGAATTAGATTTTGATTATCAGAAGGAGTAGTTTTTTCACTGATCGGTTGAGAAGGACTAGAATCAGTAGGCAGCGGAAGATAGATAATTAAATTTTGATCATCAGAAGAAGTATTTTTTCACTGGTCGGTTGAGAAGGAGTAGAATTTGTAGGCAGGGGAGGTGAGAAAATAGGATTTTGATCATCAAAAGGAGTAGTTTTTTCACTGGTCGGTTGAGAAGGAGTAGAATATGTAAGCATGTGAGGTGAGAGAATAGGATTTTGATCATCAGAAGGAGTAGTTTTTTCACTGGTCGGTTGAGTAGGAGTAGAATCTGTAGGCAGGGGAGGCAAGAGAATTGGATTTTGATTATCAAAAGGATTTTTTTTCATCGATCGGTTGAGAAAGAATAGAACTTGTAGGCAGGGAAAGTGAGAGAATTGAATTTTGATCAACAGAAGCAGTATTGTTTTCACTGATCGGTCGAGAAGGAGTAGAATCTGTAGGCAGGGAAGGAGAGAGAACTGTATTTTGATCATCAGAAGGAGTAGTTTTTTCGCCGATAGGCAAAAGAGGAAGAGGTTCAGTAGACGGGTGAGGAGGGAGAACTTTTTTTTGACCATCGGGATCGGATGAAGGAGTTGTTCCTTCCTTTCTCCTCTTCTTGACCTTCTTTCCCTTCGTTGGATGTGGCGGGAGAACTGTAGTTTGATCATCGGACGAAGGAGTAGTTTTTCCTTTGATAGGTTGAAGAGGACTAGGATCGGTATTCTGGGGAGCAGTGATAACTGATTCTTTTTGGGTTATAGGTATAATATGTCCCTACACTATGTTGTTTTATCAAACATGCCCCTTTACTATTTTTTTTACATCTAACATGCCCTTCTATTAAAATTTCTATTGAAAAAATTGTCAATCATGGTTGAACCTAGATTTAGACGACCCGACATCAGCAAATGGGAGGGAAAATGCCAGTTTTGTCCCCTGTTTTATTTCTCTGGGTCTCGTTAAGGTGAAATTATTAGAATTATTTGGCTATACAAAAGAGCAAAAAAAAATTCTAAAGTGAAATTAGTAGGGATATTTTAGAGATTTGTGTCGTCCAAAAGAGGGACAAAATTAAATAATAGAGATAGAAATACCTATCAAAGTAATCAAGAACACTTAAAAAAAAGACAAAAAATTGGTAATTAGCCTTGTTATAAGAACCGAACCGGATCAACGGCCGGGCCAGTAGAACCGTCAAACCAGTTACGATAGCGGTTCGGTTCATTGTTTGAACGGTTATTGATGGACCAAATGGTTTTTCATGGTTCAACATAAAATCAGATGAACCAACACGGTTTAACTGGTCCATTGGTTCACTATTTTAACGAAAAAAAATATTTTGACATAAACTAAGACCATCAAATCATAATTATTTATTTTATGTATGCTTCCTCAACCTTATTGTCGATTTTACATTGCCTACTACCAACTAGAACCGTAATTTTTAATTTGAATTAAAAAATATGGTTTCTTTTGTGAGATGGTTGGAATGATTTATTAGATAGTTTTCGTGATGATATGAATTTGAACTTGTTTATGGTCAATGATAATTTCATTCTTAAATTAGTGTAATATACAAGCCTTATATGTTATATATCATTAACGGTTCTACCAACGGTTCACCAATGGTTTTGTAACGGTTAACCAGTGAACCCTTAAACCACTAACTTTTCCGGTTCAGCCTCCGGTCCGGTTCTGAAAACAGAGGTAATTAGTATCATAGAGAAGAGAAATCATAGAGAAAAGGAAAAGTTAGTTGGGTGGTCGTGTCTCCCGTGTGGTTGGAATGAGATTTTGTTAAGCTCGAATCAAAATGAACGATACAAAGAAAATTAAAATGACCCACATAAGAATAAGACCTATATATACATCGAGAAATAAAATGAAATTATTCGTATCAAGGGAAATAATTGTGAACAGGGGTCCAGTTTCTCAATTTGTTGCTAGACAGCTAGAGGATAGCAATAGCACATAGCATAACAACTCCCAATTTGTCCTTTTCTCCGCTCTTACACTGTTTTTATAGGAGAGAAAGCGAAGAGAAAGGAAAATTTGAAAGGAAAACACAATTCCCAAATAATTTTTTTCTTTTTTTTAGCTCAGTTATAGCTAGGGTTGGCTATTTGGTTCGGACTGTTTGGTTTTATCCGAAATTGGACAGTATAACCCGGACCGGGATCAGACTGAGACAAGATAGTAAATAATCCAATCTCATATTCGGGCTTAGATTTGAGGTAAAACCCCGGATAAGAGACTCCCAACACCTAAAATCAAGATCAAATTGGGACCGGACCGGATCAAGACCGGAAGGTATCCAATCCAATCTTTGATCCTTTATATTCCCGAACAAACCGGACTGAGACCGAATCAATTTGGTCCAATTTAACCGAACCGGACCGTATAACAACTCCTAGCTATAGCAGTAAAGAGAGGATTTAGAGTGGAAAGTTTACTGTATAGATCAACCCCAATTAATTGGAGGGAAAAGGAAGGAAACACTTCTTTTTTCTTTTATTTTTCTTTTCTTTTGCAGCCTCTTTAGCCCTTCTTTTCCTTTTCTCTCCCCCAACTACCATGACCCCACCAAAAGCTATGAAGCAATTAATCAAATAATGGCGAGCAAACATAATAACAAGTACAATGAAAATATAATTTTCTTACAATTGTTGATCAATCGGAAATGATAACAATTAACTTGAACACTGACACCGGATTTACGTGGTATCCCTGGAGTGATCCAGGACTAATCCACGGAAGAGCTCTGAACACTCTTCTAGCTACTGATGTTATTAATCTGATGATCACAAACTGATGCAGTCGGCTGAACATATACAGGGAGAAAGGAACAAGAGTCGAACCCTAGGGATGCCCTCCTACTCTCGTCTGGGCTCCCATGCATGGGTTACATGGACTCATACAAAAGAATGGGCTATATCTAATGGGCCTCGTATAATCACGTACATAGCTATTTACAAACATACGAACCCAAATTATATAACCCGCTAACAGCCTCCCCCAAATTGATGCTGATCACAAAGCATCAATTTGCTCGAGAGATACCAATGTCGACTGGTGGAGAAGGCCTTGGTGAAAATATCAGCGATCTGATCCTCGGTGCGGACATAGTGAAGAGTTATAGTGCCATCGCCAACCAAGTCGCGGATGTAGTGCACATGAATTTCAATGTGCTTGGTGCGATCATGTAAGACTGGATTAACAGCAATCCGGATCGCACTCGTATTATCCACGTAGAGAACCATAGGAAGAGAACAAATAACACCCAGATCACGAAGTAGACGACGCAACCAGACAAGCTCAGAAGCAACATCGGACATGGCACGGTATTCAGCCTCGGTAGAAGACTTCGAGACCTTATCCTGTTTCTTACAGCGCCAGGAGATAAAGGCAGAGCCAAACTGAACAGACCAGCCAGTGGTAGAGCGTCTAGTATCAACACAGCCAGCGAAGTCGGAATCAGAATAGGCGCTCAAAGCAAAGGAGCCAGTGGAAGGAAAGAACATACCGACATCACGAGTCCCCTGGAGATAGCGCAGAATACGATGAACTGCAGCGAGATGATCAGTACGAGGAGAGGCCATAAACTGGCTAACAATCTGAACGGCATACGAGATGTCTGGACGAGTAGCAGCAAGATATATTAAACTCCCAACAATGCTTCTATAACCAGCGACATCCTGAAGCAACGCACCAGATGTGCGGCCTAACCGTAGATTAGATTCCATGGGTGTAGAAACAGGCTTACAATCCTGAAAACGATGATCAGACAGTAAGTCAGAGATATATTTACGCTGACTTAAGAGAAGGCCTTTGGAGTTCCGAGTAACCTCAAGACCAAGAAAGTATGAAAGATCCCCCAGGTCCTTGAGATTAAATGCGGCATTAAGACCCTCTTTAAGACTTCGAATACCAGCCGGATCAGAACCTGTAATGACCATGTCGTCGACATATAACAAGAGGGCCACGAGACCAGCAGCAGTCTTGCGGGTAAAGAGGGACGGATCATTTAAGCTCTGCTGAAAGCCAAGATCACGGATAGTAGACTGAAACTTCTCAAACCAGGCACGAGGTGCCTGTTTGAGACCATATAAAGAGCGATTGAGGCGACAAACCTGATCTGCAGTACCCATGGAATAACGGGGAGGACACTCCATATATATCTCCTCCGCCAAGTCACCGTGAAGAAAAGCGTTCTTCACATCAAGCTGATACAGAGGCCACTGCTGACGGGAAGCAACTGCTAATAATGTCCGAACTGTAGACATTTTCGCCACTGGTGCAAAAGTCTCATTATAATCCACACCAAGCTCCTGCGTAAAACCTTGTGCAACCAGCCGAGCTTTATGTCGTTCAATGGTACCATCGGGATTCATCTTGATGGTGTAAACCCAACGACAGCCAATAACAGATGTGGAAGGAGGAGGTCGGGGAACTAACGTCCAAGTGTTGTTAGCAT